CTAGGGGGGAGGGTTTGAAGGCCTGAGGGGCCACTTTCTGGGGTCTGGGAGTAGGCCTCCTGGGCTTCCTGCCAATGGTTGCTCAACTAGGAGGAGCAATAGGAGCAGGGATAGCAGGAACAGGAGCCACAGTAGAGAGAGAGGGGAAAGAACTCTGGGGATACAGGATTAAGGGGAGCCAAGGCAGAGATGGTGGTAGCAGGCTAAGGAGGGGGGGGGGGGAGATACAGGCTACCCCACATTCCTTAATAATAGTAGTAAGGTCCTCAGTACGACCATCAACCACTTTCCAGTAGTCATCATGCATTAGTTGCATCATCCTGAAAATAATAAGCTATAAGTTGCTAAGTGCAAGTTGGGGGGAGTTGGTGAGACCCATCTCTATACCAATTGTAACAATGAGGTTTTGAAAATAGGGGGCTCCTGTGACAGATCCTTTCTGAACCTCAGAAGGGATTGGAGGAAGGGTGGAAGTCGTATCACTTTATAGCCTCTTAAGTGAGGAAGGGCCTGAGGACCAGAAAATAGCAGAAAGGCTGTTGCCACACCTTAACTGATTACCCTAAAAAGGGACAACACACTTCAGGGGATGGACAGTAGGTGGAGTAGGCTCAGAGACTAAAGGTACCTGAGGACCTTTTTTTCTCTTTATCTTTTCTGATAAGGAGGAAGGATCTATGGCTAGGAAGAGATGGTCCTCTAACTGCAGGCTAAAGAGGTAAGGCTGTAAGAAGAGGTTTCCAGCCAATGACAGAAGGTCTTGGCAGAAAAGAAGGTATAGTTTTTTCTTTGATTGTGGTTGTAATAGATACAGAGGATAATATCTAGGATGCCTGAAGCCTATACTATTATATTAATCATGAAAGCTTACTGAAATAATTTCACAAAATCTAGAGATTATTTACACTAGCTTGCTGGTGCTCGAGTTAAGTACTAAGCTTGATAGCCAGGTCTGGATGTCTCTGTAGAAAGTGGGAGATCCAATTTTTTTCTAGCTGGGGGGACTGATTTCCTGTCCATTTTCACTCAAGATTAATAGCAATATCCTTTACCATATCAAGCCTTGGTAGGGGGAAGCCAATATCATCTTAATTAAAGTACCATTTTACTATTGCATTTCTTATTAATTGGTAAGTATCTGCTAATCCTTGTGGGCTTTTGTATTACTAATGGAAGTACCAGCAATGTGACAGTAGAGTGTATATTAATTTACTTCGAAAGCCTTGCTCGCTGCCAGAATACTTGTCTTCTGCCCTGACTTCAAAGCCTGAAGAGTAAGCTGTATTTGTTCTTTGTACTCAGAATCTCATGTCTTTCATGAAGGCATGATATGTTGCTGTCATTGTCGTTCACCATTCCAAAAAAGAGGAGCAATTACTTCTATGCTTTGTATGGCTTTAGCAGCTTCCAACTTATGTCACATCTAGGTGTTGTGTCCCATCCCGGTATTTGACATTACATTTTAAGTATATATAACTAATCTGAGACATGTTTCATAAACACTCCTGCTGAGTGAATGTATTTTTACAGAACATGCTCTAGGCCTTCATCTTCCTCAAAACCATGAATCTGAAACCTCATTCGATTACTACTAGGGTTCGTTTCGGGGCGGGGCGGGGCGGGGCGGGTTTTCACCTTCTCACCCCGCTCCCGTTTCCCCGCCCCGCTCCCCGTACGGGGGTTATTGGGGAACCCTGCCCATGCTCCCAGCTATACAATTGGCTGGGAGGAATAGCAGGGCCCCACATGGGGGCGTTGGCGGGGGGTGAATGGGGAGGGGGACCGGGCAGGGGCCCGCAGTTTTCGGGTCCCCGGAGGCCCCGTACCGAACTCTAAATTACTACACCTGTAAGAAAGCTTCTGGTAATCCCAAGTTCAATCCCAATATAGCACTCATCCATTTTCGAAGGTTTATGTTATGAAGTATGACTCTTCTATTGGCACTTGTGGAAAAAAACAGGTGTTGAGCGGCATCTGCCATCGACCCGTTGGGCATACCGCAGACATGCCGCAAGATTGCGCAACTGGGTGCAGTAACACAATCAGCGGGGACCTTGGCATAGTTACTCCCTTCTAAAAGCCTCTTTACCATGTACCTACCCCCCACTTACAGAATACGGTAGCACGCAATCGTGCACATGGTGCTGGACACATCATAGGATTCGAAGAATAGGGTGTTTACGCTGACGCACCATATACCATTAGCACTGTACCGGTAATTACAGGCGTAAGGTATAATACCGGAAACCGACATCTCGCACTCTAAAAGCTGGTTTCCCGGTACCACCAATTTCGCCATCGAAGTTCATGTTCCGGAAAACAGGTGGTGATAAATCAAGTCCCCTTGCAACCACCCTCACCGTAGAGACGGTATCTAACATGCATAGATCTAGGGACTAACTTATCAGACAACAGACTTAAAAGCTGAGGCTGTACTAAGATAGCTATAACAAGGATGTCGTGTTCAGGAGGAGGATCCCACCGATCAAAAGCCAAGTCGGCCTTACAATCTTCCTATTCCCAATGGCGGGGTGGGGGGTTAATTGTATATTTAAGGACGGAAAACCAGGTTTCCTCTTCCTCTGTGCTCCATGTGTAACCCCCCCCCCCCCCTTCCCCCTTTGCATCTCCAGTAATATCTAAAAGCTTTTTTCTAATATAATACTGACACGGTTAACGGCATACGGTAGGAGTTACCGGTACGGTATGTCACCACACACCATGACAGCATGAGCTTACCGTCTGAATCCCATCGTCAAGCGAGTGACTGGATATGAAAACCGGATGTGATGGTAAATTTACAGAATACTTGGAACCGATGGATACATATACTTTCCCACCGCCCCAACTCACAAGAGGTAAAAAGAAAAGGGAACAGTATTAGCCTACGGTAGGCCACGAGGCTTGAACCTGATTTCAACGAGATCCAGATGTTGGTTGGGATGCGCTCGAGGGGGAATGGAGTAAATTTGCTACCGTAAAACGGGCATTTCAACATCCCGGAGGAAGGAGTCCGCGAGGCTCACTCAGCTTTGCTCGTGGGTGGCCATCCGAACCAGATTAACTTAGACTAATTGTACCAGAGGGCCAACGACCGATTCCTCTATGGCAGTTGGAACCCATTGTTATAATACATTACATAAGCTTGCGCCCGGCATGCCAGGAAAAAAGCCGGAAGAAACGTCTATAATAAGCTATGATAATATTATCATAGTAATATCTGACCCCCTCACCCACCCCTAAACCAAATTTTCGTCCACGGGGATAGCACGAAACTTTAGCCGCACCGCGGCAAAGGGGCCACAAAGTGGGTTTGAGAAATAGACGGTGTCGTCGGGGATTTTAAAAAGTGCTCTACTGCGAATACACGAGCACAACTTTCTTTCCGAAAAAAAACGCTAGCCGGATTCATCCAAGTCCGTGCACCCCCCAACTGATGTAATACGGCCCGGGAACTGGAGCAAATACCCCGCCCCACCGGGGGACCCACAGGCTCGAGTGACACAAAGTCCCACGCGGGGGTCCTTCTTCTCCCTCCGTTACACCCCTCGTCAGGTTTGAATATATGGAGATGGAGGGCGAGGGCGGAAGTACGACATAATGGTAGCGGCTACATTTATGGAGGAAAAATCCCTGATGGCCAATCCTAGTTCTTCTCACCGCATTCCCTCACAACCGCCATCTAACAATGGTTCTACAGCTACGATACTCCAAAAAAGAAAAGCTATCCTGAGAAGTAGAAGAAAAAAACGGAATTTCCTTCTGCCCACGGAACGTGCCCCTCCTCCGCACAATTGAGCTTTGAGAATATATATACCCCCCCCTCTTATAGGTCACCGTAATCTCCGCCATGACGAATTCCGCTTCGAGAAGACCCTTGTCTGTGGGGCTATGTCCGTCGTTGTCTGACATATTTTTACCATGATAAGTTACCCCTCCAGTAACATGATTTGGCACTCATACTCAAACCAGATTTACGCGTGGCGACGTGGGACCATATCAGACGGTGCAAGAGAAGAAAATTCCCAACCAACACTCCAGCAATCATCAGATGGAAACCCCCCTTCCCCCCTACCACCATACCCTCAAAGTGCCCTCCGTGCCCTTCTCCATCATCCCAGATCACCTACTATCATAAAAAAGTGTAAATTAGCAACTTCCAACAGAAAATATCGTAAACCCCGAAACACTTATAATACACATTCTCCTCGGTTCACCATGTATCACACCTTCCATATCCTGAGAACTCCAGCCCTCCCTAGCACACCACATCCCCCAGCCACACAAACCAACCAAACACCATGAGGACTAACCCAGGAATGGCATGCGCGCCAATCCAACAAGTATGATAAGAATCCCACTCATATAACCCTCTCCAGTCCAATACAAGCCATCAACGCGGACGTAGGGCATTCATTGATCACCCCACAGAGCCACAGAAACCCACACTAGCTTCACAAGGCACGCCTTGACGAATACCCCAACGTCTACCTCGAAAGCGGATTGCGCGACAATAGGAGGGGGGATGCACCCGGGGGAGGGGGGATGCACCCGGGGCACTCGGCACGAACACCAGGGCGCGCGAGCAACCGAACTACTTTCAAGGCACAGTCAGGTGAGCTGATAGAACAGCAAATGTGTGGTCAGCTGCTACTTCTTTTATTATTAGGGGGGGGGTATATCGCTTGTGATTGCGGTTGCGGTCGTAGTGGTGATTTCTGGTGAGATGTGGCGGGACGTGGTGTCCCCACCTCCCCAGCGTTCGCCAAAGGCATTATTGGCCAGGGGTGAATAGGACGAGTGATAACATATGGTTCAAGCTACACACCAGGCAGGCTTAGCTCGCCAAATTAAGCCAAGTAATAGACGCCCCAAGAGCAAGTCTTATGGGGTAGTGGATTCAGCGCATATTACCGAACTCGCAGCCCAAGACAGAAAAATCACAGAAAATCACTCACCACAGACTCAATCACAAAAATTCACAAATTTTGTCTTCGTTTGCTAAATTTTTCATAAAATTACAGTACAAACAATGCATCACCCGGCCACGCACCGAGTAAAATATAAAAAGTTGAGCAAGGGACTATTGGCGGAAAAGTAGACAAAAAGGAACAAAGACCAATTGAAGCCAGCTAAAAGAATCCACTTGGGTGGAGGAAGGTCACGCTAAGGAGGAAAAAAGCGAGTGACGACGAATAACATGTTGGAAGCCAAAAACGAAAAGCAAAAAAAAAAAAAAAAAAGTAGAAAGAGTAAGGAAGAAAAACGATTAGCGAGATAACCCTCCTCATGTCTAAAAGAAATGAAAGGAGCAGACGAATATGTAGAATTCGGAGGGAAGAAAAATTGGAAATTATATTAGACAACGAACGCCCACCCACCGATCCAGCCTTATATAAATGACACTCGAATTTGTAAGAAAAGTAGGATATCAAGCAAACATGTCAGCTACACCGCCGAGATCCGGGGACTCTCGTTTTTCAGCGTATTGTTGCTGTTGCTTCTTCTCCGCCTGGCTGCGCTGTTTGCCAACTTGTGGGCGTTGGAGCTTGCCCTTTTCGCTAATCGCGACTCCTCTCAGTCCGTCCAGGAGTTCCAGGATCAGAGCTCGCTGCTGCCTGGTGCTTCCAGCCGCGGTAAGCTTTTTGTAACAAGCATCCACCTTTGCCTCCGTAAGTCCTGGTAGGTTCAATAACAGACTCCTTGGGGTACCCGAAGTCGGCGAGTACAAAGTAAAGATGGCAGCGATAAGTTGAGCAAGGTCCTTCTGGACATCGACAAAGTAATCGGTGTGCAGTGCCTAGAAACATTCATCAGAGCCTGTCCCCGAAACAGTAAAGGGGGGAATGCAAAATCCTTACCTCGATAGCAGCAATAAACACCTCGCGACATATGAACTCTCGAATGTCAGCTCTATCGGCTTGGAACTCAGGCACAATAGACCTAAAGACTCTGATAATAATGCCGCAACATCTTGAATCTCGCATCCTGAGAGCATGTGTACAAAACAGGATTAACGGCTCCAGGACACAGTCACTCGAAAGGATGAACTCTCTCATGGTTTGTTCACCGGGTCCAGCGGCCTGCATTTCAGGCAGCGCCAGCTGGTCAAGGAATCCGGAATTTGTGTTAACAGTTTCGCCAGGGCGCTGCGGATCCAACAATCCAGCGACAATCAAGACAGCAGTATATGTAAGTTGCCTCAATATGCTCTCTTCCTTCATCTCTTCTGCAAGCTTGTCCTCACCCAGAGAAATCTGTCCCTTTCTAATAAGCTCATCCCATTCGCCGCTGATCTTCCGATCTACCTGGGTAAACAAACTAGCGAGAAGAGGGGTCAGAAAATGTGCTCTGAGGGTGGTTGGGCAGTCGTCAATTATATATCTGGTCATGTTTAATAAGATAGACATTTGATGCGAACTGAGCGCATGAGCATCTGCGAAAAGTGCCAATGCAAGCGGCCCCGGAAGCTCGCTAAGACCGTAAAAATGAACGTCCAACCTTGACATGCACCAGAGTATGGAATAGCAAGCCTCGCGCACCATCCTGATTGCACCCCTTATCGACGAAGCGAGCCCTTCCATCGTGGTCTTTGTTTTCGTCACATTTTCATAGAATTCGTCTCTACTCCCAGTAGATATCCCAGCTTGCCAGAACCTATCAGTCAAAATTTTGCGTATGACTGCCTGAAGTTCTGGTTGGAGCCCAGCCCAATTCCCCGCGTTGTGAAACGCGTGCGCGTGACTATTAAGACTTGGTTAGGGTACCTCATTTCGCACTAAGATTTTGGGGATATGGGATTACGTTAAAAATTGTAGGAGATTGGGCAAAATCATGGGGATGGATTCATGCCAAAGCGCGCACGCAATATTATGGGCATTCGAGGGCTTCCGTAGCTGTTCGGTAGAAACTGCGAGGAATGCCTTTGTGGCCCTGATCGGCAGGGTCTACAGAAACCGAATTAGCCATCTCCCGACAAGCCCGTACACCCTTGAGAAGCCTACTTTGAATTTCTCCGTCAATTCGTTTTGCAAAGCCTGGCCCTCTGTGTCTAGTACATGTTTCGTAAAATCCGGAATTTCATTAACCCTTCTTGAGATAAGGTATTCCTGGACCTTGTCAAGACCCAAGAGGGCACAGAAGCCTTGGAATGTTCGCAGCGACTCCGTGAGACCAGGGTCCCTCCACGTTTCACGCACTGGATGAATATAGCTCTCGAGCCTAGACTGCCGTACTGTGGGGTCGATATCCTTCGTCCGGTGACTGATGCGCGAAATCAGCTGCCTTTCGTCAAGCTACCAGAAGGGGGATTTGGCCCAGAGTTACCTACTTGATGGTAAATAAAAAGGTATGGAACGCGATCCGAGTACGGTCATCCACATTTTCAGTGGAGATAATCTCATTAATCTTTGTTTGTAAGCCCTCGTACACAAGCATCAAATGATCAGGCATCTTCATCGCTAGTCGCTGTATCTCGGTCGTACAAACACCCATCAGTTCCTTGACCGCATCAGTATAGGCGTGGTTTGCTGGATATTCCCGGGGCCTAGTCAACAGAACCTACACTGAAATTAGCATATTGTCAAGTCCAGGGGGGCAGTTAAAGCCATCCAGGCCAGGAAGGCATACATGTTCCAAAATCTTTAACATCAGGTCGGCCTTCTTATCCAGGGCCGACGTGGAAACGGTGACCATCAACTGAATAACTCTCCTTCGGATCATAGGGTCACCAAAGTTCATGCTGAGGACCCGTTCGCACCACTCGGTCAAACGCTGTTCTAGTTCATTACGGCTATCATTATTCTGCAGTGAGATTGCAAATGTCAGATCGGAAATGAAATGAGTTTCCCAGGGAAATTACATTTGTCTGGTCAACTGTCGGGTTCTTGCCGACAGTGTCAATCCATTTCATGTACCCCCTCAATGACGCCTCTACAACTGTAAAATGCGCATCCAGCTGCAAGAACGGGCCAGAACTCTTCCGGTAAGTCTCCACTAGATTTCATCCAATATCAGCAACCAGAAAAAGCGTATCTTTCCCCATCAGAACCTACCCGCAAACGGTGGCTCCTTAGAATAAAGTTCGGATAGAGAGGAATCTGCTTGCGCGAGAATGTACGGGAAAATGTCGAATGGACTCTTCCTAACCAAGCACTCTACAATGCTCTGACAGAACCGCCGGTAGTTACCGAGAAAAGCGTGTCGATCAGGCATAGTATCGAGGTCCTCGTTCAAGAAAATTATGCACCGGTTCGATTCATCAGTCACAGATTCGTACTAAATAATGACCGTATTAGTTATCTACCAAAGGGTGCATAAAACAAGAAAATCTCAGTCAAAGGAAGAAAACCAATTACCCTAATTAGCCTTGCAGTAGCGAGTGCTATCAAGCCTGGAATTAAAGGGCCAATTGCTTCATGGCCACTCAATAGATCTTTACGAATAATCCGAGTCCAAGCATTCATGACTGGGATTGAAATAGACAAGCTGTCATGACTACAGATTTGGAAGAGCAGCTTCATGAAGCCAGCGAGATCAGCCTCTGCCGGCATCAAGCCCGACTTTTCCTCTACAAATCCACCGAGATTGGCAATCATCTGAATTTCGGATTAATAGATAAGTCCCCCATCCCCCATAACAAGAGGCAAAAGCCCTACTCACCTCAGCGTATCTCTTCAAGAAAAGGTAGCGCTCTTCATCAATTTCGGTCGCATCAACTCGTATCCAATTGAAAATCTTTGCCAACAGCTCCACCGTTTGGGGATAGTACATTGGGCAGATAATCTTTTGAAAATCATCATCCTCAAAGAACACCCTCGTAAATAGTGTGTGCAGACACTCTACAGCGACCTAGATCATCAGCTTTAGCTCCCGGATCAAAACCCAGTATATCGAAGGTGTTTCCGAAAGAGAACAAAGAGATACCATTTGGACTGATATTTTTTCCGCCATCAGAGCACGTCCAACCGTCTCTACTACCTTTGCTGCAGCGATGGCCCTAAATTGATGGATCAGCATAACAGGTCAAGTCTAGTATCAGGGCAATGGCGAATCGTCATGGCAAACCAATGCTTACTTTGGAATGGCCCAGCTCATGCATGCTTTCAACGTTCCCAAAACCTTGACCGCGCAGGCTTCCACCTCCGTATTACTATTCACACCGGCCTCCAAGCATTTCTCCAGCATCTCGGCAAGCCTTGTCAGCCAGCCGCCTTCACCGCACCTCAACACGGCGCTTGGCTCTCGCCCCGGGAAATTCTCCTTCAGCACATCCAAGGGAGTAAATATGTCGATACAAGCTTTGCTTAACGGCGTATTCCTAACCCCGGCCACCGAGTCCTCCCTATTGAAAACATCCTCCACCAGATTCTCCAATATGGAGAGCACCAAGTCCCTCTGGGCTGGGTTGCCTTGCTGTGTAGAGTTGTCCCAGAGCCTCACCAGAAGCTCATCCATGTCCAGCCACTCGCTAGCCCATGATCTCTTCGCAACCTCAACCCAGAGCTGTGCAATTTTATTCCGTAGATATACCGGATCCCTCCCGTCGATCTTGACATTCTCCGCCAGGCTCAAGATCCAACCCCGAACCATGCCGCTCTCCTCCGCAGTATAGTCAACCCAGGAAAATCGAACAGCCTGCTCCAGGAGCAATAATCCGAAATGCCTTACAACGGCATCATGACCCCTGTCGTAAGCGAGGGTAAAACCATGGTATGGCGCTTCCTTGTCGCTCTTCGCAGATTCGAGAAATGCGCCAGCTTGTTTCCGGGAATCATTAGAGGAGTGGGGATCGTAGACTATTTGGAGGGCTTGTTTGATCTGGTCCAGTGGTTGTGGTTGTTGCAGTGTCTGACCGTTTGCACCTCCACCACCGTTCGTCGCAGGCGAGCCTACGGCATCACCAGACATTCCTCCTCCATTCATGATATCCCTCGGACACGAAACGGGGAGGCAGGTTTGCGGAAATCTATCGAGTGATACGGGAAGATGTCGGTATCAGTGGTGAGGGGAGGAACTTTTTTTATTTTATTCTCTTCTTTTGGTCGATTTCCTGTTTTGAAGGCAAATCCGGAAGATGCAAGAGCTAGTTCACTTTTTCTTCTCTTTTTGGTATTTGCAAAAAAAAACCCCCAAGTTTTTTTTTTCTTTTTTCTTTTCGTCTTTCTCTTCTCTCTCCTTTATCCTTTGACAGAACCTGAGTGTTTTCGGTAGAGTAACAGGGTTATTAAAGCGACGAGAGAGAGAGGATATATTTTGGGGGGAGCAGGAAAGGGGTGGAACACTACGGTGGAGAGAGAGGTAGATAAAAGGGAGGAGGGCCGAGTAAGGAAGAGAGAGAGGGGAGGGGGAGGTCAGTCAATGAGGGAGGATGGGAGAACGGGTGACAACGCGCAGTCGGCCAGATTAGTAGGCTCAGTCAGTCAAAGCTAGGAGGAGTGGGCGGACGTGGACGGTGAGAAAGCAGGTACGAGGAGCTTATGGAGCGGGTGGTGGGGATGGTGAAGAAAGGCGGAGGTGTTTAGTGGAGTCAGTGAGTCAAGAAGGCGCGGAGGAGGAAGGAAGGAGGGGAACGGCGGGGGGGGGGGGATCCCTGATTGTAGCCTGACCGGTAGAGCAACTACCTCTCCTCAGCTGTCAGGCACAGCAACGCAAGCTCCGAGTGCTCTCTCCACTCTATCATGTCCACCGTACCGGTACTTGCTATGCGGCACTTGCACAGGGCCCGCTATGGCATCATACCGGTACTGTTGGAACAGCAGATGCGGCTCCTTTGATCAACGAATGCTGTCCGGCCCATGCTAGATGACAAATTCCGGCATCAGAGATAATAATATTATTATGATATCCGCTGGATCTGGTTGATGCCATCCTCTCGATTGATGTGGGAGATGGCCAACCATGCTATTCCATCCATGGAGCGATACCACATTGAACCAGTCCCCTCGGTAGAATGCTGCATGCCGTCATACCGGTACTATTACAGCGGTAATTCTCGAACGAGGCCTCGTACCGGAGTACAAATACAAGGGGCTGTGGCGTGCTCGACTTCCACCTCTCCGATTCACGGTAGGGACATACAGTAGCGGTACGGTAGTTTCTTTCCTCAAATTCCACACCACAGCACCAGTACTGTCCATCTCCCCCCTCCCCCCGACAGCCAAACCAGAGAAGGCTTTGCTACTGCACTGTATATCAAACCTAACGAACCGTAAAAACTATATAATGGCGATAAGCAGTTGATTTCCTCCGTGAAAATCAGCCAATCAACACCCATCAGAGTGACCTGTGGTATCCTGCAAGCGCGCTCAGTCGCGTTGCTTACCGGTACCGGTACTGCAAGAGTACTACCGGGAACGGTAGACCACGGTATCCCGTCTCGATTTTACAATGGATGATCCTTGCCGGGGAATTAATGCGAGGGAGGATGGCTCCGTATCTGAGTGACTTGTCCGGTCCAGAGTGTGCGATACTGTACTCGAGTACTTTATACGGGTAAACCTTTTGGATACCATGCTCTTGGCAGAAAAACCTTTCGGATACCATTGACCGGGAAACATACTCGTACCATCGAAAAAGTGAAACCTTTGTACTCGTACACAATTATCTTCCTTTGCCAAGAACTCTAAGAAGATTTCTAAACACCTTCAGTATTGCCTAGTTCATCTTAAAAAGTTGGGGAGAAATTTTTTAAAAATACTAGCAGAGTACGAGTATTTCATTACTTTTTCCCAGGACTTTTCTTT